GGTGTTTATCCAGTATTTAATAATATGTTTGATCAAGGGTTGGTTCCAGAAAATATTTTTAGTGTTTGGCTTGATCGGTAAAGTTGAAAAAAAAAACATAGATTTGTAGTCTTTATTAAGATTTATTTTTATTTTCAGTGATCCACAAAATCCACGTGGTGGTGAAATTATTTTTGGTATGTTTTTATTTTCTATAAATATTTGTTTGAAATTGATTTTCCTTATTTTGTTTTTTGAATAGGTGGTTCGGATCCTGCTTTATATGATGGTAAATTTACTTATGTTGATGTTACTCGAAAAGATTATTGGCAATTTAAACTCGATGGAATTGCATTTGATTCAAATGAATATTGTAAAGGCGGTTGTCAAGCGTAAGAAAAATTTCTTTCAAAAAAAAAAAAAAAAAGAAATTTAATTCGTTTGTTTCTTCTGATAGTATTGCTGATACTGGTACAAGTCTTTTAGTTGGTCCAAAAGCTGAAATTGCTAGTCTTAATGCTAAATTAGGTGCTATACCAATTGCTAGTGGTGAAGTAAGAAAAAAAAGTAGAATAATTTCTCATTTTTTTTTAAAATCTTTTTTTAATATTTAGTATATAATTGAGTGTAGTGCAATACCGAAATTACCTCGTATTCATTTTACACTTAATGCAACAGATTTTTATTTGGATGGTCCTCAATATGTTTTAGTTGTAACAGAATTTAATAAAACAATTTGTTTATCTGGTTTTGCTGGTATTGATATTCCACCACCAGCTGGTCCACTTTGGATACTTGGTGATGTTTTTATTGGACCATGGTATACAGAATTTGATTTTGGTAATAATCGTGTTGGTTTTGCAAAATCAGTTTCACCGAAGAATTCAACTATGAAAAATAAAAAGAAGCATTTATCATTTGATCAACTTTTGCCTTAAATTATTTCATAATAACTGTTCAGTATCTTTTTTTTCTTTTATGATTGAAAATTAAATAAATATTAAATTCTTGACGACTAGTGTTTTCCTTCGATTACAAAATGTTTGAGATAGTTATGAATTCAATCGAATCTAGCAAATAATTCTTTATGATTTTTGATCACAAAATTGTTGTTGGTTAATATTGAAGACATTAGATATTATAAAAATCTCATTTCTTGAATAGTATAAACAGATATTTTTGAGACAGTTGTTTTTTTGAATAGATTTTAATACAAAAAACTGAAAAATCACAAAACATCATAATGGTAGACTTAACTAAGAGAATCAAATTTTACTCATAAAATTTTTCCTGTAATTGATTTGTGTTTTTTCTTTATACAAAATGCAGCAGATCAAACTAAACTAAGTACAAAATATGAACAAATAGGATATTTTCATTAGCGATTTTTCAAATAGAAATATTGTGTCTGAAGTTAGCTATGCTTTTCTTCATTATTTTTTGTAAATTTCAACAACATAAATGAAATGATGTTAGCATAGAGAAATCTTATCTATGTCATTAACTGAAACTCTAGTGAACGAGTGTAAAAAGATGCTTTGCAGTAAGTTCGAAATTCTAATCTTAAGATCTTTCAGAACTTGATTTTTTTGTACTTGATCAATAGCCTACTGATTGAGCTAATGAGCCTTAAAAGATATGATCGCCGCTGACTTTCGTCAATAAATGCAATAATAATGATTTAATCTCACTTATTGCTTAATCAATCTTTAGAATAATTGATATTTTAAGTCGTTGAAAATCACACAATGACCCCGATAGATATAATGAATGGGGCCATAGTTCTGCATTAATTTTGTTTTGATATAACATTGCAATATAATATCGTATAGTTTTGATCCTTTTCTTCTTAAAAAGAACAAAATATCTAGTGCAAAATTATATAAAAGAATTAGACCGAAAAATGTTTTCTGAAGAATATAAAAATCTTGGAACCAAAAGCATTGAAAAATTCTTTTGCAAATTTTTTTTCAATTTATAAAAATACTTCACACCATACGAAAGATTTTCTTTTTATTTTGTTTTTTTTCCAAGTTTTATAAAGATAAGGATAGAAGATGGTATCATCAATTTTTTTAAATTATAGACTGCGGTCAAAAAACGAAATTCTACTCCGAAAGAGAAGTTATTAGAAGATCTATACATTTGATATGAAAAAAAAAAGTTTATTGAGTCCTCTATTAAATATTAATACGAATATGATGCAACTTCTCTGTGATATATTCATACAAAACTTTACTTTTGTGCTATAAACGTCAAATTGATTGTTTAATCAAATTATTTATCGTTCAGTCTCTTAAACGTTAGACTAGCTGTTTCAATATCACACGAAAGGCGTTGTTGTAATGATCAGTTATATATATATATATCTATAATGCTGAAAAATATCGAAAATCGATAATAAAAACAAGTCAAACAAATGTATTTGGATACAAAAATTCTTATCGAAGTTGTAGAAGTATTTCCTAATACCTTTTGTTCTTAGATCTTTGTGTCCTTCAGGGAATATTTCCGATTAAATCATTTTATATATTTTTGTACTAGACATTTTGCTTTTTCTAACAAAAAAAAAGGATCAAATCTCTACAATATTACATCGCAATGTTACATCAAAGACAACATTAATGCAAAACTTTTGTTCCATACATTATGTTACTTGATATGAAGATATTTCATTATTGTTCAACTTAAATTTATGATCGATCTCTTTTAAGATTTTTATGATACTCTCATACATTATGACATCATCGCATTCATTTTCATCGAGTCTCAACTAAAAAATTTGATTTTTTAATGACTATAATATTTTAATAAAATTATATTAGATTACGAAAATGGCTCGATCAATATAATTAAAATATTTATTGGATATTGAATCTTCATAATTTTTTTGAAAAACTGTTTCACATTCATATTCGATCAAATCATACACTTACAACAACTGCAGATGTAAATTTCTACCTGTACATTGTATTTCAATTTCAATTTTTACAGTAGAATCTGTTATTCAAAAACATAAATGCTGTAATGCATATTTGAAATATTAAAGATAATAATATATTAAACTATAAGAATTGCTTAAATACCATCAACAATTTAATTATATAATATAAAGGATAATGATGAGTGATGAAATAAGATTTGCTTTTGATATTGTTGAAAAAATACAACATGAAAATTCTGATTCATATATTTTTTTTTTCGAATATGCACTTTGTTGACCGATTACGTTTATTCAAAAAGGAATCTCAAGAAAATGATAAGAAACTTTTAGAGTTAAAAGAACAATATTTGAACTTCATTATATAAATATTTGGCACAGGCACATTTACTCATATTGTTTTTTTTTATTAATATAAATAAACTTAGATGAAAATGAACATTGAATTCAATTTTGTCATCAACGATTACATATTAATGATATATTCTTTAATCATGGTTCTTCTATTATATAAGTAACAGATAAATTAGAAAGTGAATCCCAAACAAAAAACAAAAGTATATAAAGAAGAAACTGAACACTACAAAAATCTTCAATTTTAAATATCAGGTACAGGGAATTTTTTGTTGTAAATTGATGCTATTTGTCAAATGGAATAACATAAGACAAAGAAAAGATCTATCTACACAAAGAAATTGGATATATAATTGATCGAACTTGTAAAGCATCAAGTACCAAAAAAAAAAACGAACAAGAAAAAAAAACCCGAAGAAAATATGTAAAATGTAATAATAATTGATGAAATACTACGTCGTTTTGTTGTCTTTATCGATATAACAAGAATTATTTATGGATAAGGAAAAAAAAAAGAAAAAGAATTTTATTTTACTTTTTTTCTTTATGCTATTATCATCTTACATACACATACATATTGATAAAACAGATGTCATACCAATGTTAGCAAGATTATTTGATGACAGAAAGAATGACTGCTTATTTTCTGTTACTCCTGCTTCTGGTGATTGTTATAAGAAGAGAAAAACGGCAACTGAACGTAATAACTATGACATACATTGAAATGAATAGAAGAAGAACGACAATGAGAGAAGCCAATTTCTTTCTCTATTCTATATATTCTCGTTTGTCCTCGTCTTTCATTTCAAGTGTAAAAGAAAAGTTGTAAATCTTAATGGAATGTGTGTAGTTAAAAGACGCAAAAAATTCTCTATCAAATGACATCATAGAAGCAGTCAGCTTGTATGAGTACACGAGCGCTCCTTTTCGCTTTCTTTTTTACTGTCATGCGAGGGCACTCTGTGCCTTTAACGCGTTTGTTCTTTTCTATGTTCATCAATCTCTTGCATATATTCTCTTCTTTTTTTCTTTAATATAGAAGATATTGAGTCGATTACAACATCAGTAAACTGTGAAGTTTACTTATGTGTAATGTTCGTAATATGTGGCATATTTATTTTCTCTGATTATCAATATATGCACTTTTTTTGTAAAAGAAAGCTATGTCTTTTTTTCTTTTGTTATGCGACCGCAAGCCACAAAGTTTGTCTTTCATGGCCACAATCGTTGTGACTATTAATAATAACGCCAAACGTCATCCACATGATGAAAATGTTGTTTTTTATTTGGTGGTCGCATTTTCTTTTTCTTTTTTCTTCTTCTTCTGTTCTTTCTTTTATTCTCATACTACTCTTTGTCCTCAATCTTTTTCTTAAACATATTAAAATTCACTACTCTTTACTCTCAACCATCCACTCAACTTTTTTTTTTTGTAAACCACAATTTTATATAAGTTCGTGTATGTGTCTGCGTCATGTATGAAAAGAAAAAAAAAAAACAAAAAACCAATTTTCAATTTCATTTTTTTTTTCCTTTTCTATTTCTTTGCTTATTTTGTTTAATTTTCATCTAGACAAAAAATCAAACGTGAACGAGAAAAGAAGACATATCATAGATTCCCTAAGGGAAATCGTGGGATGAGAATTTGACAGTCTGTACTGATCTACGTACGTGCGGGGGTAGGTGACGAAGAAAGAAAAGAAGAAATATAAGTACCGAAGGAGACATGTACACTTCACGACGTAGTGGCCCGGTTACCGATTTACACAATGCTCATACTGTTTCAACATTGATGAGAACAATGACAACATCAGCATTACCGTCTAATTATCCTCATCGTCCTTTATCACGATCGAAAACGAGTTTAAATGGAACACTTCCATTTCGTTCATCAAGTATTCATCAGGTTTGTATTCAGAGAATTTTTTGACCTTTTCTTTTCTCTTTCTTTTTTTGTAAATTAAACTTTTCGACATTCTTTTATAGGTTGGACATCGCGATCGAGAAACTGAGCGACTTCAACGTCGATGTGATGGTAATCGTTCGTCTGATTTATTTACACTTGAAGCAAAACTAAAACGTAATGAGGAGGTCATTGCTCATCAAAATGCACAGGTAAATATAAATATAGATATCTTTTTAAATTTACTCTCATTAAACAATTTTCATTGTTTATTATTAAAAAAAAAATAGATTGAGGTTTTAAGTGAAGAAAATCGTACATTAAAAGGACGTCTTCAAGAATTAATTGATCTAAAACGTGATTTATCAAATAAACAATTTGAGGAACGTCTGAAAAATGACGATCTTCTTCGAGATCTTAAAGATATTGATCGTCTTGCACGAAAAGTTCAAGCTGATAAACAATATACTGTTGAAGCAGCTGATCGAGAATTAACAGAAGCTAAAGTAATTTAAAATTTACATATATCTGAATGAAGTTTTTTTTTTATTTTAATTTTATTCGTTTTATTCAAGATGGAAATAGAACAAAATCATCGTGAAATGCAAGCGCTTGATAATAAAGTTCATCATTTAACAACAGTATGTTCTTATTAAAAATATTTCTTAATTGTTTTTTAATTGAAATTAAGAAGTATATAAGATTAAATATTAATTGCATACATTATTCATTTAAGAGTAGTAAACATGTATCTCTATCGATTTAGGTTTTTTTTTAAATATTTAATCATTTTTAAACATAGAAAAAGAAGACGTATTAGGTTCTTTTTTTCTATAGCCACTAATGGATGACATGAAATAATGAAAGAGAAAAGTGTCCGAAAAAAAAAATAAACCTGTTATGATCTTCTCCATTATTTTTGCTTCTCGTCAAAATAATTCGACTTTCTTTTCAAACCTCTAGCATTTATAATCATTCATTGACAAAGTAAACAAAATAGTACTCTATGATTTTAACAATGAACGCATTATCCGCATCACTAGTACAATAAATGTTGAACGGTAAAAGTGAAGTGTTCATTGTTACTGTCCTTCTGAACGATTTTGTTTGCTTTTTCGATTCATGATTAAAGATAAACGAAGTTGTATAACTGATGAGAAGCAATAGTAAATGACAATATTACCATATACTTTTTGCAGATATTTATTTTCTTCGAAATGTTTTTATTGAATATCTGTAAATGTCTGTTGGTCATTTTGAACTTAAGTATCATCTTGATCAAAGACAAATTTTAATTATAAATACTTCTTATTCAAAATATCTTACTGGACATATAGAGTAGAAATAATATTAGTCTAAGTCATTCAACAGCAAAAAGACAATAGAGTTCTTTTGCACTTTCAATCTTTCTGAAAGTTTCAAAGTTGTCTATGATGTTCTTCATTCTCATCAAATTAATATAAAATAGTAGTCGTAGTTGTCAACTGAAACGAATTATTAAAGCTCATGACTTTATGAAATTTCAGATGTAATCTAATCTAAAATAATAAGACGACATTGATTAACGTCGAGTACTTTTGTAAAATTTTCTTATAACTAATTTAAAATAAAGTCTTGATTGTTGATGTTCGTAAATTAATGATCAAATTGTAAATTATTATTTTTTATTTTCATAAGGACAAGAAAAATTTAATCGAAGAACTTGAAGCAACTAAAAATCAATATGCTGAATGCCAAAGTGAACTTATTCGTTTACAAGAACTTGTTGATCGTATACAAACCGACAAAACAAAACTTCATCGACGAATTTCGAAACTTGTTCATAATGGTAAATCGAACATGAGATATTTCATATAAAAAATTTTTATTTTCTTTCTATTTAAAGAAAGAGATTTATTACATGAATTACAAAAATGTCGTCGTACAACAAAACCTGCAATTCCATCCGTATCAACTGGTTCATCAACAAAGAAACTTTCAATTCCAGCTCGAATTGATATACATTTAAAAAATGTTGAAGATGAACGTGATATGTATAAAAATGAAGTAGAAGGTTTACAACGATTACTCAATGAACGTTCTCGTTGCTTATCATCATTATCATCTTCACGTTTAAGAGGTCGATCATTATCACCAACAGTTATTACACGTTCAACAACTAGACGTGATATGGCTACATCACCAGTTATGCAATATATGAAACGATCAGCAAGTAGTTGTAATGCATCGCCTACACGTTGTTCTGTATGTGGATCAAATCGAAATCGATTATCACCAACAAAAGTAAAATAAATATTTATTATTTATTGACTGGTTTTATTTGTTATTTTATTTTCAAGGATATTAGTTCATGTGATACTCAATTAAAAACTCTTGAAGAAGAACGAAATCGTTGTCGACGAGAACTTCGTAAATATAAACGATCACCAAAAGAAAAAGTAAATTTATCGAAGCTATCATATAGAAAATTAGAAAAAATGTTTTACATCAAAAGAGAATCTTCTGACATATTTGACGCATCATTTCTTCATCGAGAATATGAGAATCAAAACAAACAAAAATAGAATGATTTTTCAAGCTGTTATTTCTTTTGACTTCACTTCACATAAATTCACTGAGAATATTTTTCATTTATCCTATGTAGAGCTGTAAATCGATCGACTAAACTGTAACCATAATAGCAGATACTTGTGTAACGATCAGCACAAATTACTCTTAAATTCTAGTGTTTGAGTTCACTTCGATGTGTATACTCTTCGTCGAAATTCGATAATATGCATTTGAGCGATATGACTATCGGCAATACCTGTGTTCGATGTTCGAACCTATCAGTCGATATTTTGCGATGACACCTGCAGTATATATATATATGATAAACATTCAGAAAGAGTGAAATGTAAGAATGATCGCCGAAACGAAAGTCACAAACATACATGATCGAAAGGCAGTCGGCAATCTTCATTTTGATGAACATCATATCGATGACATCTGTTTCAATGATGTTCATTTCGGCGACGAGGTATACAGTTTTCACTTTTTAGCTCGATTATAATTTTCGATCTATAATTTAGAGAATCTTTCAATGCGAGAAAAAATCATCATTTCTAAGAATATATCTAGGCTTTGATAATAATTACAAGGTATGAATATTTGATTTTATTGGATAGGATGTTGATGAAACTCAATTATTAAAATTAATACGAGAAAATGAAGATTTACAATCAATAATAAAGAAATTTGAACGACTAGTGGCCGAAGTATAAAAATATCAATCACATTCTTTTATCTATTTATTTATTTACTTTTTAAGATTCAAGGCAATATAAAAGTGCTTACTAATGAACGAGACAATATAATTATTCATTACGAACAAGTTAGTTTGTTACATTATTTTTCTTATTTAATCAAAAATTTCTTTCATTTTAGACCAAGGAAGAATTACAAAGAGCTCGTCATGAACTTTTACAAAAAGCTCAAACACCTAAAATTTCCCTTACAGCTCAATCAATTTTGCGTCAAGTTGAAAATGAACGTGATTCTGGTTAGTATAATCAA